AAAAAAAATGATGATTACTTGCAAACCAATTAATATGTCATTACATTTAATTTGAAGTATTTCTGAGATTAGCATATTTTTCGATTAAGCTTGTCAGACATCTGAAAAGTGCTGTATATGTGCAAGGGGTTGATAAGCCTGGCAGACCGAAGAAATTAAGCTTAACAAATCCCCTGTGAGAAGAATTATGGCAGTGAAATTGCTTGCTTTAAAAAACGAATGAGGTCAAATCCCATTATTTTCCCCACTGGAATGACTGTTTTTTCACTTCAGAACTATATTCCCTCTACTTAAATCAATCTTCAAAAAGCCCTGAAGAGAAAATGGAAGGTAAGTCTTTAGGGGGAACCCAGGGGTGTTTTGCGTTCGTTCACCAGAAGAATATCTCGAACACGACTGAAGTGTCACGGGCGGCAGTAATGGACACGTCTCACTACCAGGCAGGAATTCGCGGTGGCCGGTTTGAAAGCAGTAACAAACAGAGCCAAGAGAGCTGTTCTGAAACCGAGCCTTTCTGAAAGACGACACTTTACTTGTATGCATTAGGTTGAACAACCAGAACATTCCTATTTCAAAGTCCATGTACCTGTACTTGTAAAATACCCTGTAGTTGTATTTCTATGCATATACAGTAGCTTTTTAATTAAATTAATGCACTTATACTGTATATTCTTGGACCTTACATATATTTTGTATTCTGCTTGTCGAGCAACATATTACATTTGAACTTTTTATAATTCCCCTATAGATGATTTAGCAAACGATGCGTTATTGAATTCCATATTCAGAGAAATATAATGTAACCATTTACAGTACGAAGCTAAAAGACCATAAGAAGGTGCCATCTGAATTTGTTTTTTTTTTTCGTGTTTTTTCCTTCTTCCACATAAGAAGATACTCGTTTGAGGGGAAAAAAAATATTTTGTGAAAATACCGTGAGAGTTTATAGGTGACAGTAGCTTGTCTCATGAAGTGTAGTTGTCTTTGTAAAACAAAATATTGCACAAGTATAGGAGCTTAAAATCATGCCTTTTTATTTTGAAACAAATCTTCAAAGGCAAGGCAAAATTATTTATAAAATGATATCAAACAGAAAATAATAATTTGACTCAGGTTTCCAAGATCCTACTTTCACCTTCGTTCGCCGAGCTCTGGGACCGCAATTAAATTATCTTCTGTTTCCACTCGCTGGGCTCGATACTCGATTAATGTCACTGAGCCTGAAGACCTAGTGAATCAAATGAACGAAACATCGTGAATCGATTTGAGTGATTCGCTGAAAAAGATTCGTTCAAAACGAGCGAATCCCTCGCGACCAGCGCAGCTCAATCCCATATACCCCTTGGGGCGGAATCCCGATTCAGTCATCGCGATACTCAGAGTCAGTCGATTCTCTTTTAGGATTATGGCACTCCCGAGGAAAATACACGGCGATGATCAAAACATATACTTCTGTGCTTTCATTAGATTAAACACCCTTGTATGGCTCTCCTTTATGTGAAGGAGAGGGGCAATGGTCGAACGCACAGTCAGTACGTCTATATGCTCTGTGATACTCCCCCTCAACTAAAATATTCATGTTTCTCAAAGTAAAAATTAATAAGCAGAGGACTAATGGAATAAAAATGATTAACGTAAAGTCAGTATTTCACATGATAAAAATGTGCAACCTTTCTTTCATCAATGATTTTCTTCCCGTTTGCGTGTCTAATTGGAATTCAAAAAGCGAATCGCGAACGAGCGCCCAATGAAAACGCTTGCTGAGGGCGGGGCTAAACATGTAACCACGCCCCCATATTGCCCCGCCCAGTTCCGTCTTCCGCAGCGAGAGGCTTCTCGGTCCGTTAGCAAGACTGGTTTGTGTTAGTGAAGTTGTTACTTCCCAAACTGCTGGGTGGCTTAGCCTAGAGGGAAATATTTGGAACGTGTCTCACCTGCAAGGAAATGCTGCGGACACAGAAGATACTCAAGGGTAAAGAACACGCTGCTTGTGGGGAAGATCCTCAGAACGGTGAAGCCGGATCCTTCTCTCTCCAGGTGAGGTTGTGCCTCATGCCCTATCCAAAAGCAGGGTGGGGATTGACAAAGCTACATGTCTTTATAATAAATTAAAACAACAGATTTGTTGTAGAGTTTCTAGCAAAATTTGGATTTCCAGCATTGCAGACAGCAAGGCTATTTGATTGTGAAACTGTTGGAAAAAGGAACTGGCAGAGAAGAGGCACCAGTCTGTGCATTGAATTTGGTGATGACACCACAGTTATCAGGCTGATCAGTATCAAGATGAGTCTGTATACTGGAGTGAAGTGGAGCATCTTGCAAGATGGTGCCTTGACAGCAATCTGGCCCTGAATGTCAACAAGACAAAAGAACTTAGTGTGGACTTCAGGAGACCCTGAGAGAGTCATACTTGAGTAAGTATATTGGGCACAACAGTGGAAGATTCCTTCAGATTCCTCAGATTGCATCTCTCTGCTGACTTGGCTTGGTCGTAAAACACTGTAGGCAGTATGAAAAAGGTACAACAGCGCCTCCACTTTCTGCTGTGCCTAAAAAAATGCGGTACGGGGAAGCAGCTACTTGTGAACTTTTACAGCAGCACCATAGAAAGTGTCCTCGCTAGTGGCATCACTGTATGGTACGGTAATACTACTATGCATGACAAAGATGCACTACAAAGAGTTGTGGCAATGGAGCAGAGGATTACAGAATGTGACTTACCATCAATCGATGAGAAACACACCATCTGCCCAATCCATTATTCAGGATCCCACCCATCCCAGCCACAAACTGTCCTCACCCCTGTGCCCTGGCAAGTGGTACCACACTATTAAAGCATGGACCACTAGACATAAGAACAGCTTCTACCCTATGGCAGCGTGCATCCTTAACAGCTAACTGTCCAAGGCCTCAAAATTCAACAGACCTCTACATTCTGCTCGTTGACTTGGCTACCGCATTTACTGTTCTGTTTGTTTATTGTCTATACATATTTATACATGCTGCCACTGTTTATTACTTACTGTTTTGTAATGTACCATCT